GCCATTATAATTGTAATACTAAATTAACAATAATTTTCCATGTAATTATTGGTTTTACAACTTTTAAATCACATATTGACATGCTATTCCATTATCTGACTTTTCCTACATTTTCACTGCAGATATATATCAAACAGACAACTCACTGTTGATGTGTCTTGTATTAACATCGTATTTGTGCAGAGAAAACTCATCATTCATCCCGACCGTCACTGCTCGATCTCCGTTCCCCTTAACTGTGACTCAAAATGTAACAAGCCTTTGAATGAAACGCATTATTGTTGCCTTATTTTTTTAGCTGCTCATTTCCTGTTATGGAGTCTGCTGCCAAAACTACGCCCTCTGTTTTTACTCTTAACGCAGTCGGTCATACCTTGCACACTGCACGACCTCAGTGTCATATCTCGTTAACTCTGGTGTAGAATAGCATTGTTGAGAGAATGTCTCCGAGAGACAGGACATTGTAAGATGAATGTTATTTCTGTCCTCATGTTAGTATCACCCCTCCGCTGTTTATACGACAGTGCGCCTGCTCCTGGATTGTTTGACTTCGGAGATATATACCAGATAAAAATGGTTGGTTTGTGCTTTTTCAGTTCTCATTCTTCCCTCCATGATAATGTATGTTACAGAATGTTTATGTGGCATTTGTACTTGTTTTTGTTGACTTTAATAAAACTGTAAAGAAAAGAATTCAGAAATTTTAAAATGTACATCAAAAAGGTAACATTAAAATGATAAATGATCACTTTCTGTGTTGTGTGTGACTGTTAAGATGTATGTAAAAAGAAATTTATACTGCTATAGCACAGAAACAACAACACTGAAGGAAAGGGAAAATTCCACACATGGACATTTTACAAAACATAATCCTTGCAAATCAATATCCATCCATCTATACACGACTTTTCCTATGAGGGTCAAGGGGAGCTTGAGTTTATCCCAGCTGACGTTGGTTGAGAGGCAGGCTACACCCTGGACAGGTCACCAGCGTATCACAGGCCCAACATACAAAGATGAACAACCATTCAAACCCACAGTCACCTTAGAGTTTTGGGATGGGCTGTAGGGAAAATCCATTCGAAAACAGGGAAAAGATGCAAACTCCACAACTGAACAGGGAGTCAAACCAGAAACCTTTTTGCTATAAGGCCAACCACTGTACCACTGTCCCACCTGACCCAATACCTCATACAAAAAAAAGGAAAAATAAGACAAATATTCAGTTTTGCACTTTGGCTAAACATTAATCATGAGAGCTTCTTTTCAGAAAGTTCTGTTATTGGTTTTTTTATGTCTTGTTTAAAGAAATTGCAACTAATAAGGTTAATAAACAGTAAAAAATCAAAAGGGTAAAAAAAGATAATCACTTCCTGTTTTGTTTTAGAGAGTATATTGTACAAACATAATAAAAACTATGATAATTTAGCATAAAGTCAACAACACAACAAAATAACAAAGATAATAAAAACTAACACACTTGTGTGCAATTAAATCAAAATAATAGAAAAGCACTCATGCATCAGTCAACATCAATATTCCTATAAAATATCATTAACGCTTGTACTTTACAGAAGGTTCTCTGTCATTGTTTATTCTGAAGATAAAAATTGTATACATTTATTTGGTTTAAGGAAAGGAAACATCTGTGATCCTTTACTATTAAAAAGCCTTATTTTAGTGCATCTGTGCCACCTGCTGGGTGATTAGAAAATAGAAAACAGTACTAACATTCATCAGTCCCAAGCCTGGACGTACCAGTCAACAAAATAGATAGTAGTATTAATAAGTAAATAATAAGAACGTGAGAAAAATGAGAATGGAAACTCGTCATGTATCCAAAAATATAACATATAAATTAGCCTGCTCTGTCCATCACAATGTCCAGTTCAAAAGGTCAGACGGCATGAGAAATGAGAATACATGCTGACCATGTTTTTGTCATTGTACCAACTGGGACATTTTTGTACATCCATGTTGATTCCAGATGACTCACTGATTCCCAGAAGCTCTTTGGAGGCTGCACCTTCAGCCAACATGTTGTGAGTCTAAAGATAAAATCCCATTTACAACCAGCAAAATTTCCCTGTGATGTCATCGCTGCATGACATCCATACAGGAAGAGACACGACCCACCAAACATGAACTTCCTGGTTGCTGGTGTGTGTGTGTGTGTGTGTGTGTGTGTGTGTGTGTGAAATGTTCATGGGGCAGGTGGGATGTGAGCTGTGGTAACCAGAGAACTTCATGTTTGCACCGTCACTTTGGATATAAATAGTGTTCCTGTAAGCTATACGCAGGGGACAGAAGGAATCCCATCACAGACAGAGGGGAGGGGTCACTATGGCTGTGCGTACATAAAGCATACTGATTGCAGGCAGTGGTCATCAGAGACCAGACACTGTAACCCTGCACATATACAGTACGGACGGACACAAACACTAGAAGACATTCCTTTTTGGATATAGACAAACTCTACATTATTATGGGTATTTGTGGATCCATGCTTCGAAAGCAGGCACAGGTCCTGATGCTGGGCCTGGACGGCTCAGGGAAGACCACCCTCCTCTACAAACTGATGTACAACGAGAGCGTGGTGACCGTACCGACCGTGGGCTTCAACGTGGAGTCGCTGGAGACAGACAGGAGCAGCCCGAGTCTGACAGTGTGGGACGTGGGGGGTCAGAGGAAGATGAGGCCTCACTGGAGGCATCACTACACTGACACAGCCGGACTGGTGTTCGTGGTGGACAGCTGGGATCAGACACGGCTGGACGAGGCCCGCAAAGAACTCCACCGGGTAATTAAATCAAATGAGACTTAATTATTTATAAGAGTAGCACTTTTTCTTCAGTTGGGTGTTTGACCTTCACTGCAGAAAAATCTGCTGGAGGAGGAAAGTTTGTCTCTGCTCACTTTAAATCTGAGTCGTTGTTTAAACTAGTTTGTATATTTCAGTATGCAGCTGTCACACAGAACATTTCAGTGATGATGTGAAATTAAGCGTGTTAAACTTAAACTGATGTGACAAATATTTGCATATTCATAGATTCTGGATTTTCCTCAAGAGAGATTTTGCATGAGGATACAAATTATTATTCATTGTTTTGTTTGATTGTGAGCAGGATTATGGAAAAACAACTTGGTGGAAGGATGTGGTATGGGTCAGAGAAAAAACAATTTTCACTGATTTCCTAAAAAGAAATACATAAATCTTGATGAAACAAAGCAGGCTGATTTAAAACATTCATACAAGTGTGTGCAAATTGGTGCAGCTTGATTGACTTTTAGGGGCCTTGGTGGAGGTATGTGCTCTACTGAGTACCATAGGTATTAATGCATTCATAAAAAAAACATACAAACTGTAACTCCTAATATGAAGACCCCATCAGTGTGTTTACACATTTAGCAATGACTCATAGAAGGGTATAACACCCGTAGTTATCTATAGTGATAATTTATTACACATGTTAACAAATATTTTGTGTTACACAGCTACAAATCAAAAAGGCAGATTCAAAACTGATTACATGGATGTGTTCTCATGAAGGCATTTTGGTCTTAAAGTTTCATTCTTGAGAAATATTTGTTCAATAAAAAAATACTATTTCAATTCACTGTCTGCTTAATGGATTTCTATGTTTCAGTAGAATAACTATAGGCTCACTTTTCTTGCAGCAAGAAACACAATATTTTCATCTAGAAAAGTTTGTCTTGCACTGTCTTAACTAATGTGTTCTGTACTTTGTTTTCTTCCCCTACCAGGTCCTGAGATATGAGAGTCTCCGAGGCGTTCCTCTCGTTGTCCTCGCCAACAAACAAGACCTTCCAGCAGCTCTGAGCCCAGAGGCACTTTGTCTGAAACTGGACCTGAGCAGAGTGTGTGATGGCAGAGCCTGGTTCATCCAGCCCTGCTCCGCTGTCACTGGGATGGGACTAGAGGAGGGCTTCCGGAGGATAGTGTATCTGATGAAGACCCCACTGAAACAGACTCAAGAGGACATTAAGGTTAAGATGAGGTCAAAGGGCTTCAGTGCCACAGCCGTGAAACAAGTCTTGCTCTGCAGCAGGTGATGGATGAAAATCTGTCTTGACTCGTCTGAGATGATTTGCTGTTCGCCTCTGTCAGGCATCAGCAAAGAGCCGCTCTGTAAGATCAAATGAGAGGAGGCGATGATAAGATGATACGATATGAACACAGTGATTAGTGTTAATATCTGTGAAAGGTGAAAATAACCCTCACAAGCCTCACATGAAATAATGAATCTGTCAGGATAGACACAGGTTGTGCCAAAATCATGAGATTCTCAGTTTTACAAGACAATAAAAGTGGAAAAACAGTAAAACAATGCCCAGACGTTTCTTTGTCTGTAGGTTGTGAGGGTTAACAGGACCATGGAGGGGAGAATGTCTCTTTGCACGAAGATAATAAACTACAAGGATTTTGTTATCAATCTTGGATTATCAGGGTGGTTTTGAGAAAGCAGTTGATATGTCACACAACATTCAGTACAGTCTACCAGCGTGACCACCGTTCACAGAAAACAAACAGGAATGTTCTTTTCCATGTGTGGACTGTTTCTCTATATTTCTATGCATTTATTTATATTATTGTTAACATCACATTATCATTTTTTATATATACGAAAACAAGAATAGCCTTTAGGTTGTTGCACCAAACCTATGAAATTGTTTTGTCATATTTTTTTGCACTGAAATAAAGTTTGTTGCTGTTTTAAATATCTGGAATTTAATGTGTTCCTGTGGTCCTTGAAGTCAGAATGATCCTCGAGTAAAAGTATTTAATTCTAATCAGATTTAAATCAAGACTGATTCCTGTGTCAGGCCAAACCTGACCCATCCTATGTGACATTAGGATTCAAGATTCAACGCTTTATTGCCATATCAATACAGCTGGTCTTGGCAAAAAATACACCCACACTCAAAACACATAGCAAATCCTAAAACCAATGTTTCAATAGATCAAACCAACAAGCATTGCTTCAAAACATGCATTAGAGGGAAAGGTTATGGAGCAATAAGAAGTACTTCATATAAATCATTAATAAAATTCAATCAAAAGCCAGACGGACATTGGTACCATGATTTCTTATCTCACAAAACAAGTACAAAGTTTCCCTTAAAGAGGTCAATAAAATTTAACTGCTAGACACCGAGAACAAATGTGTAGTAATATGATTTACTACTGGACTGTATTAGTTGTACTTGTGTGTTTCTGATAACCTGACTAATGTGTGCATCGTGCTTTGGATGGACTAAATATTAGTAACACCTCTCATTTTAAAGGTTCAGTGTGTGGAATTTAGTGACATCTAGTGGTGAAATTCCATGTTGCAGCTGAATACCCCTCACTTCACCCTCCACTTCCAAACATGACAGAGAACCTGTGGTAGCCTGCAGTTGTCATAAAAACTCAAAAGGTGTTTAGTTTGTCCAGTTTGGACGACTATAAAAAAAACATGGCGGCCTCCGTATAAAGGACCCACTCCTGATGTAAATATAAAGTATGTAAATATAAAGGGCCCATTCTAGGGTAAAGAAAACAACAATTTGTACAATTTAGATGAAACACACCGGTGAAAACATCACTAGGATTATTTTATATTCAACTATATTCAATAGATCCTTTCGACCTAAATCTTACAGCCTTGAATGTCACACAGAGGATCAGCATTCACCGGTTAAAGTAAACGTGTATATTGAACAAATGTGTAGAAATATGATTGTGGAGTTTTGTGAGTCATCAGGAATCAACATGCATGTACACAAATGTCCCAGTTAGTACAATGACAATAACAGGACAGCATGTGTTCTCATTTCTCATGCTGTCTGACCTTTTGAAGTGATCACTTAGACTGGACATCGTGATGGACTGAGCGGGCTAATTTGTATGTTATATTTCTGGATACATGACGAGTTTCTGTTTCCATTCTCATTTTTGTCACGTTCTTTGCACTGTATTAGTTGTACTTGTGTGTTTTCTGACACACTGACTATCCTGTTCATTGGACTGTGGATGGACTAAATATCAGGAACAAATCTCACGGAGGTGTCCCACAGAGGACACAGACACATGTTAGGATAAACGTGTAAATCGTGAGTTAGTTGTGATGTGACGAAAACGTGTGGCGCGCTCTGCAGATGGATGTTCAGCGACACGACCAATGAGAGCACCGGGGGTTTCCCCACCCTTCCTCCACGCCAGAGAGGCCGCCCTCCTCCTCCTCCACCACCGGCATTCCCAGTATGCACCGCGGACACAGCAGCAAAAAATAGTCCGCTAACGAAAGCTTGAGAAAAGGGAACTAGAAAAAAACGGGGGGTAGCTCGCCTGCTAAATCCACGAGTCGCACTGTTATTTACCGCAACCAGAACTGCTAACATGGCTGACAGCGAGAAACTGGACAACCAGCGGCTGAAGAATTTCAAGAATAAAGGCCGTGATTTGGAGGTAAAAGTTGCGCACGGTGCGCGGTGTGGATGTCCTCTTTTCCTCGCCGCCGCCGCCGCTTCTCTGTTCGCGGCCAGTTTCGGCTCCTGGCGTCCCTGTGACGTCGTTTCTAATTTTCCACCATTGGGGCAACTTTGAGCCCAGAGCCTCGGCCAGGGCCTTCGCAGATCAGATGATATGTGTTAGATTGCTGCTCTGGGCCCTGTAGGGTTTCGTCGCGGTTTCTCTGAGCCGTGAGACCGCGCTGGTTATGAAACATGTCAGAGAAGCTAGTCCAGAGTTCATCGCCTCCACTGGATGTGCTCTGCTAGCCCGCTGCTAGCCAGGCCCGCGGGGGACGTGCTAGCTTAAGTGAAGCATATCATCCACCGCATCGGGTTAGCTTGGTGTGTTAGCCAGTGAGAATGTTTAATTCAACACCCAAAGTGATATTTAATCATCGTTAGGGTTATCTTTAGGGGATATTAGTTTAATTGGCTGACGGTAAATCAGCGTTATTCCGGATGTGCCGCTAGCTAGCCTGCGTGCTGGCTCTGCTAACGCTAAGCTCGGTGGTGCTGGTGGCTGCAGTTCCACCCATCCCCCGTCTTTATCACCAAAAACAATGGCGGAAACCAGTCGGTCTCTTCGCCGGCCATTCACCTGTGGTTTTTCTAACCGTTGCATATTGTTATAATTCCATCATGTGCTTTGCTAACAGTGACACATGCTCAGAAAAACAAGGTTATCGCGACCAGCTAGTTAACGCGATCACATGACTGACGGATCAAAGCTACACCTCGGATCCATAAGCTACCGGTTGATTTGCAGACAGATCGGCTTCATGCACATGAGCCGGATTTACTCAAACATCCAGTTTGACAAGTAGTTTCTGCTGCGAGGTTCACCTTTAGACTGTCTCGCCTTGAAACCTTTTCACAACAACACGAACCTCACAGGCACACATGTTCTCAAACAAATAAGCCATATGATCAGCTGCAAGTTTATTGTGTGCAACTCACTCAATCTGCTGCAGTCTCATACGAAAGTCCTGCAATAACCTTCAATAAGTTTATCTTTCATGGGTGTTGATTTAACTTCATGGCCATTTCAGAAAATGAAATTTGCAGTGCATTGAGATGTGATATTAATATTGTTTCCAGCTCGCGTATAACAGTGCAAATAGAGTCAATATTAAAATCATCTTTGTCATAATATGATAGGAGAGCAGATGAAGAAACCTCAACACCTTTTCAAATCAAACATTTTTGGCAAAAACAGGATTTTGAAATCTTGCCTTTCTTGCAGAAGTGTTTACTGTCATCTGGCTACTGAGTGTATTTTATAACTATCACCGTGTTTTTAAGATCACAAATAAAAATGATATCCATCAGAGAATATGGGCATCAGTGGTCTGGTGACTTGCAAGAACTTAAGCTGAGTCATATTTGGTTAGATTGATGTTGGCTGTTGTCATATTCAGTTTGTGGGCTGTTGACTTTGTGCCCCAGGTATGACCAAGACTGCTGATCAGCCTGGGTCACCCAAACCGAGTCCTGATTTAAGACCGTGCTCAGATTACATATCATTGCAAGTGTCACTCTCTTGGGAAAGGGAAGGTTGGGATTTAGGTTCCTTGTTTCATGATGCTTAAATGTGATCTATTTTTCCCACAGACTATGAGAAGACAGAGAACTGAGGTAGTGGTGGAACTCAGAAAGGTAATCACTTTGGTGTTATATAGTTCAATCTACTGCAAACTTATAGATAGATAAGTATTATTTGTACAACATTCAATTTTGACCCTTCATCTGCAGTATGTCCTTGAAGTAATGTACTGAAAGATCCTGCTGGAATGTGCACAACATGATTTTTCTGTTCCCTGCGCCACAGAACAAAAGAGATGAACATCTTCTGAAGAGGAGAAATGTGCCACATGAAGACATCTGCGAGGACTCTGATGTCGACGGAGATTTCAGATCGGTACGGTTGTGTTGTTTTCCTCTCAGAATACGTCTGCTGCCACCAGAAACTGAGTCGATTATATTTTTAGGTTTTGTACTCTAAGGACAGTAGTGTATGATGGCTCCTGCAATGTACGACTGAAACAGTGGGACTGACAGCTTGACACGCAGGGACTGCTCTGACTGATTGACCAAGAGTTTTTCACATTAGGTCTGTCTCACTGGCTCAATACCAGTGAGGTTGAGGGACATGCTGGGGTTTTGTCCATGTGATGCTGTCTTTTTAGCTTCCCTTGCTCGATGCCAGTAGGGTGGGGTGTATGTGTGAACAAACAAGCAGTTTGTCACTGTGTGTGCTGGTCGGTGTCTCGTTGCTGAAGTAAGACACCTGTTTCCTTTGCCACTTCCCTTGTAGAATAGTATAAGCCTCATTGGGGGTTGTGTTCTTTCTTTGTTGAAGTTTTCAGGGCTTTTTGGACAAAATATTTCTATTATGTTTGAGAGAGATCACTCTGTTGGAGTATATTCTGCCCTGCTTATGTAATCTCCACAGCGAACACCAGTGAGCAGTTTTGTATTTAATTTTTAGATGATATAATCCAATTACTATGTTTGAGTTGGTGTAAAAATTATTATTATTCTAAGTTTTCATAGAATAATTAGATTAGTTCTGAATGTTTTGGTTGTGAAACATGCAGCAAATTATTTGTAATACACATATTGGCTTGAAAATGATCCCTCAGCTTGGTAAATTTGAGGCATCATTCTCAGGTAAATGGTAATATTTCCACAGGTACAAAGCTAAAAGCTAAAACGAAGATGTACGCAATACATTGTCTTAGCCCTTCATTTTTCTTTTGCACCTAGATGATTGACGTTAAATTTCTCAGTCCTCATCCCTTCATGTGTGCAGTGTGGGCACTTATCAAACTGACATATTTAAGAGCAGCAACGTCACATAGAATCGATCGATCAACAATCTCACCCATCGCTGAAGATCTCTGAGTGTGGTGGCATTGCTGTGTTAAAATGGTCACTCAGCAGTT